GGAAAGTTGAAAAGAAAATCCTCTCTTGAGAGGAAGAATGTGAACAAAGAGAAAAAAATTAAAGACATAAGAGTACAACAAAAATGCAAAACACCATTCATATATCATTGTCCTCCACGCACTGATGCATAAAAAAAAACATCCTGTTCCAAATATGGTAAAGATATTAGTGAATCAAAAAATAAAATAAAATAAATCTTGCTGGAAAGTAAAACTGTCTCTGTCAGTGTTCAACAGTTTCTCAGCCCTGTCTCTGATAATCTCGGGATCACCAAACATAGTCTCTATCCCACCAATCTGGGCTTCAGATACCTCAGGCTTGGCCACACTGCAATCCTAAGATCTCAAGTGCTGTTCCTACTTGCAGAGAGACCACTAGGGATACACTCATGCAAAAAAGCAACCCTGAGATGCAGCAGCAAGACAAAGGCCACCAGCGCTCTCAAGCAGGAAGACCCCAGGCTCCTCCAAAGCCACAGTCACGCCCATATTGGACCTGCAGGTCTCTGCTGGAATCCCCAGACAGAGGCTCTTGTGGTGGTAAACCTGSTGTCACTCGGGCCCCAGGCTCTGGCTGGTGTCGCAAAATGGGTGCAGCCACATGCGACCAAACCTATAATCTCCCCTGAAGCAGTCCTCTAGGCTATGGTAGCAGCAGTAGTGGCGGTGGTTGTTGGAGGCAGGCAGGGGGTCAGCAGTAGTGGCAGCTGCAGCTGTGGGGGCAGCATCACCACGCAATCTCCAGCAGCAGTGTCGGCTTAAGTTACATTTGGGGCAGAGATGTCTTCTGTGGCAGCAGCACCCAGAAAGAAGACCTCCAGGAGACCTGAAGCTGGCAGCAGCGGAATCAGAGGCAATAGCAATGGCAATAGTGGTGCAGGCAGCAGATGATTGACAGGAGACTTCCATGCAGCAGCTGCGACCATGGAGATAGCCACGGAAGTTGCCTCCAAGGTTACCATGGCGGTGCCCAGAGAAGAGACCTCCAGCAAGGTAGCAGCATCTGGGGCAGCAGCATTGGCTCAATTTTAAATTCTCTCTTTTTTTCACTTGCTATTTACTACCATGTTACTCATTGTGAGTATGTTTTCATAATCTTCATGAAGCAAGGTTATCACAACCACCTTAAACTCTTTGCTCACTAACTCCAACATCCTGGTCATCTTGGAATCAGTGTCTTATACTTGCCTTTTCAAAATTGGTCATTTTCCAGCGGGCACAGTGGCGCACGCCTGTAATTCCAGCGGCTAGGGAGGCTAAGACAGGAGGATCGCAAGTTCAAAGGCAGCCTCAGCAATGGAGGGGTACTAAGCAACTCCGTGAGACCCTATCTCTAAATAAAATACAACAATAGGGCTGGGGATGTGGCTCAGTGGTCAAGTGCCCCTGAGTTCAATCCCTGGCACTAAAATAAATAAATAGATAAAAAGCAAAGTTGGTCATTTTCAGGCTGGGGTTGGGGCTCAACAGTAGAGTGCTCACCTTGCATGTGCAAGGCCCAGGGTTCAATCCTCAGCACCACRTAAAAATAAATAAATAAAATAAAGGTATTGTGTCCAACTACAACTAAAAAAATAAATATTTAAAAAATTGGTCATTTTCTTGTTCCTTCATATTTGTGTAAGTTGGGGTTGTATCAATGACCAAATAAATGTTATTGTGAAGAAATTCTGAATTCTGCCTTAGTTTTCAGAAGAATTTTAGCAGGCAATTAATTTAGTTATATGCAAACTGAAAATCACCTCAGATGGCAGGTCAAATTCAACTCAGTTTTTAAATTTTTAACTGTGCTAACTTATATCTGCTCTTGAATACATGATTCAGGTATCAGCCAAATATTTGGTTAATGTTTATAAACAGAAGAAGGAGCTTCTCTTCTCTGTCTCTCTTCTTCAACAGATTCCAAACTCATTTTTCAGTGTCTATGTTACCTGAATTCTGTTGTTTGGGTCTTCAAACCTCAAAGACTGTATACAGGTTTTTAAATTGAGGGTTAGCCATCCCAGGTGACATTAACTTCAGCCTGCTCTCAGTCTAAAAGTTGTAAAATGAAAAACTTACTTCTGAGTTTTGAATTTCAACTCCCCCAAGTAATCTGTCTTCTTATTTTTACTTTCTAGGGCCTCCAGATATTTGTTGGGAGGTCTATATTACAGTTGATATCAGAATGAGAATGTTAAATCCAGTAGAGTTTACATATCCATAAAAGAAGTAGAAACAAATAAAAACATTAAGGAAATATTCCTTTTCATTTCCTACCTCTTCTCTGAAAAATGTTTAACCTCCATCTACTACCTCATCTAGTAATATTTGGTTTTAGTTTAAGAAGAAACAGAAGTTGGAATTAGGTGATCATCTTGCCAAGTACATTGGTGGATTTGGAGTGGAAGCACAGCACAAAGTTAAATGATAAAATATTACTCAGACGTGGCTCTTAGATTGGCAGAATTTAACCTCAAAACATTGCTGTTTGCACAAAATCATGACTACCAAAAATATCTACATGGTACTTCGCCACATTATTTTACCTTACTTTTTGGGTTTCAGATTGCAATAGGTAATATTCCAAGAGAAATAAAACACTGAAAATCCTTCCACAACAGCAGAGTTGGTAAGTGAACATTTCCTTCTAATAATAATCATTCTGGCTTCCATTTCTTGAGAGCGTCTGCCTGCAAGACACCTTCTTAACCACTTTACATAAATTATCATTTAATCTTGCATAGTCATTCCATGAGGTCTTTTCTATAATTAGCCTCATTTTATGGAAGAAGAAATCAGAGTTCAGAGAGGCTAAGAGAGTTGACTGATATATCCCATTGAACAGCTGAAATCTTAAAAGAAACAGAAAAATGGGAGTAGTTGAAATCATTAGGCTCATGCCCTTTATTGTTAGTAGAGAAGTCTTTCTATGTATGGAGGAATAAGAAAGGTTTCTAAAACTTGAAAATAAGCTACAATTCTTTTTTCTAGTAATTACTGATGTTCAAATCCTACTCTTTCAGATATATATTTTGTATTGATAGCTTTCACTTTAAAAAGTGCCTTGCTTCAGGGCTTAAAACACTAACCAGAGTAATAATAACAGAAAGATCAAATAATGCCATTCAAGGACTCTAGTTAGGATGCTCCATTTCAGTTCATTGAATTTCCTACTTTTAAACTTTCTCTCTTTTCCAGGGAAACTCTCTAGATGGGTACATGATTCACTAAAAAGAAGCCAGGCATACTAGAAAGTGAAGATGCCTGCCTCATCCCAACACAACCTGAACTTGGTGAGTACTTCTAGAAGATACAGCAATGTGTCACAATCCTACAAATTCTAGGTGCAGTCTTGCCTGACTTCATAAACTTGGCATGGATTTTAGATGACCATTGGATGAGAGAAAAAGGAAGGCAGGTCAAGGATGGTTAGGCATACAGGTTACAGGAGACTAGGTCTTAACTGGAAGCAAGAAAGAAAACACAACATCACTGTATTCTGGCACATGAGGTTAACATATATGTATATCATATAATAAATATGTATATATCATGCAAAATTGTTTGCCAAAACCCAGGAGTGGGACACACTATTGAAGGAGGAGAGATGAGAAGGACTGATGGAAAAGGATATGGGTATTTACATAAAAGTGGGATTAAATGAGCACAGCCCAGTGACCCCATGCTGAGGAATTTATCAGCTTAGTACTGCAGGGGGAGAAAGATGGGACACCCATTATAAGGGGCACAGCAAATGCTCCTCTTAACAAAATAACAAAAGACAGATTAATAAGAGAAAAGTAAACCAATCTACCTAATAAATGTTGTCTGTCACACTGGAGCCTTCAGAAATGAAAGCCCAGAGACACAAGGAAAACTGGGCTTTTTTAATGCCAAGATCTGATGAAAATGGACAGCTGTATAGAAGTGAGATTGGACAAAATGGGAATGACCTATCAGTGAGAGACAAAGAGAAGAAACCCAGCAAGGTGTATGGGTTTCAATTCTTCTAGGTCTTTCTTTGAGGCATTCCTTTTTCCCATGTACAAAACAGGACCCTTCTGGGATGACCGACTGTCAGACAAGGTAGGCCAGAGAACTTCTTTATGGCCAGCTCTTACACAGATGTCGGGGGAAAATTATGAGTAAACATTTCTAGGTTTTAAGGCTGGTTTTGAGGGAGAGGGGTTCCAGTATCTAAGGCCTGCCTGGGGAGAGAGCGGAATAGGATACAGTCAAAAAAGATTTTGCTTCTGGGGCCCTGCCRACATCTTTCAGCTCAAAATACTCAGCATGCCAACACTCACACTTACATAAGTACTGTTTTCTGACCGCAATAGTGCATATTTTCTCCTTGATTGCTATTTTAATAAAACACATGTTCAACTTTTCCAATGTCACCATTCAAAGATGTATAAAGGCAAGAGATCATTTTACCTGATCTTTGAACCTTTTGATAAGATCCAGCCTTCTTTGTCCCACTGGATACCACTAGGACTTCCTCTTACCAAGAACGATCCCAAGCCATTTTAGGAGACATGGCTCATGGCAGAAGCCGCCTCCTGGTGCTACTCATTTCATTTCAATTGCACCATCATTCTCAAAGCCACCATAAGGCATAACAACTTGACACTGTAACTGTTTAACCTTACTTTTTATACATAAAAATTATTAAATATGTGTAAMTGTCTGTGGGGTGAGAATGATATAATGGCATATCAATCAGGCAACAGTTAAGCTACACTTCATGGAAAGCAAAGGCAAAGCTTTCTTTCATAAAGTGAAGTCATCACTCTTTTATTTAACTGACATAATATTTATATTCCAACTTTAAAATGGCAGCTACAAATAGAAGTCGAGACAGGGTAAATTCTCCAAGGGAATCTAGACCTGAATTTTACCATTTTAAAAGTTCTATTTTATATGTACATATGAATGTTCTACTATTATAAGTTTGCCCGTAGCAGTTCAGTTATGTCAGACCCTCTGAAAAAATTTCAAAATGAAGCAAACACTACCTTTTAGACTACTGCTGTTTCCTTGGAGTTCTCAGTGGCTGGATGCACAGATTTTTTTGTAGAGGAGTTAAGGTCAGCAGGTTGTCCTAGGATACCTACATCACAAACAAAAGAAATTTTGATGATATTTTAGCAGAGAACTCAACAGAAACCACAAACTACAAAAACTGAGCTGGTATGACTGCACAGATATTGTTTAAAAGGCAGAATAAAGGCACATGTGATTTCTTATGAGCATCATCATTGCTCTGCAGAGGAAAGATGTGGCTGAGAGGTGCTTCGGTGATTCACACATGACCACACAATGGTGCCTTGACTCTCTATTGTCTGATGCCTATTCCAGGGCTGGCCTGTCCATATCATTTGGCCCTTCTCAGGAACTGGGCAGGCTGGCACTAGGGCTTTCCATTGTGCCAAAATATAAGGTTGATCCAGGAGTTTTGGTAAGAAGGGTACTTACCAAAAGTGATGTTCTATGCCAAATCACCTGTCTGAAAAAATCATTTGTGGGTCAGTTTACAACCTTTCCTATGAAATTCTGGTCCCAGTAGAATCTGAAGTCATATGACAAGGGAAGGAACACAGGTTTTGGTCCCACAGGCCTGAATTTAGATCCTAGTAATGTATTATCTCTGTGGCTTACATGGCTGCTCAACCTTGTTGTTCCTCACTTTTTGCTTCTGAAAAATGGGTATAATAATATGCAAGGGATACATTTTTAAGAATATATTATTTCTAAATGAGTTAAAGTATATACATAGTATATACAAAGTATATACATAGTTCCAAGAATATGTTAGACAAAGCAAAATCTTTTTCCATCTTAATTGTAAGGATAAGTGGAAGAATGACAAAGGGACCAAAGATATCTCACTACCCATAAATCACTCAATGATGATATACTCATCCCCCAACTGGTCAGCTCACTCCTATCTTTTCTGATATCTACCTCTACTTTTCCTTCAGATGCCCTTCTTTGAAATAAAAAATATTAAAATAATAAACACTGACTCATTCTGTAGGATTTTGTATAAGGGTGAATTTACCTATTTATTTTTATTCCATAACATGTTAATTGGCCTGCTCAATGCCATAATTTAACAGAGTAAATGCATTCATTTGACAAATGTTTATTGAGATGCTATTAAGGGGTCAGGCACTAATATATTACAGCAGTAAACATAGCCCCACATCCTGACTTCATGCTGTCTATATTCTGGTGGGAAAAGACAGACAAAAAAAATAGGTGAAATATATGGTTGGTTAAATAATGCTAAGTGCTCTGGAGAAACAGAGTAGGAAAGGAAATGATGTGTGTTATGGGTTGAATTATTTTCCCTGCACTTCAGAAAAAAAAAATGTTGGGTTCCTAACCCCAGTACGTTGGAACTTTACTTTCTTTGAAAATAAAGTTGTTGAAGATATAACAAGCAAAGATGAAGTGTATCCATCAGCCTTTTATCACTGTAGCCAAAAATACCACAAACAACTTGGAGGAAGAAAATCTTATTTTACTCAGGGATCCAGAGGTTTCAGTCCTTGGTCAGTGGCTCCATTGCTCTGGGCCTAAGGTGATGCAGAATATCATGGTATGAGGAAGTGAGCTGGGAGGCAGAAAGAAAGAGAAACAGAAACAGAGACAGAAAGAGAGGAAGGGGCCAACATGTAGTCCCTAATGACTTATTTCCTCCACCCATGCCCCACCTATTTTTAATCCATCAAATGTGTTAATCCACCAACCAGGTAAGATCATCTCTAGACACTGCTGCTCTGGAAACCAAGCTTGCAAAACATAACTTTAGGGCATACTAGAGATCCAAACCATAAGTAAAGACAGAGAAACACAGGGAGATGCCAGGTGATGACAGAGATGTGGCTTATGTAGCTGCAAGACAAAGAATGTCAAGAATTACTATCAAACCACCAGAAACTAAGGAGAGGAGAGGTGGGGGTTCCCTGTAGTTTTCAGAGAGAGCATGGCCCTACTGACACTTTGATTTCAAACCTGTAGATTCTAGAGCTGCCAGGCAAAAAAATTTCTGTTTTTGTAAGCTACTCAATCTGTGATACTTTGTTACTATAGCCCTAAGAAACAAAGGCAGTCAGTGTAGAGCGATTGCTGCATTTTTAAGCAAGGAGGTTAGAAAATATCTCCAGGGGAGGTAACATCTCTGGGAAAAATCTAAATGAGAATTCAGCAAAAAAAAAGATAGATAGTTTTGGATGGAAATAAATTCCAGGGAGAGGGAAAAGAAAGTGCATGAGAACACTGGTRTGTTAGAGAATAGCAGGGACCAGTGCAAGAAGAGAGAAGTGGGAGTTGAGAAGGAGCAGTGACAGTGACTGTGACATGGGGCTGGTGTGTGCTGTATCTCTTGGGCCACTATAAGGACTTGGGTTTTTATTGGCAGCAAAGTGCAAAGCCATTATTACATGGTTCTCACGAGAGGTAAATAAAGAGCTGACTTACACTTTGATAAGGTCTCTCTAGGTCTTTGGTGAGAATGAACTAAAGAACCAGGCCACTGAGGAGGCTCCTGCAAGACCCTGGAGAATGAAGGTACCCAATGTAGCACAGTGGACAGTAAAAAGTGGTCAGGTCCATGTAGCATATTTTGAAAGTAGATCCARAAGGATTTGCAACCGACTGGGGGTAGAAAGATGGGCCTGACTTCTTGGTAATATATGAAAATAAATCTGGAAACAGAACAATTTAACTGTTCTAATAATCTGAAGAATGATCTTCTCAAATGTCAGCCCTACCAAAGATACAGTGAATACCAGAATATGCAAGGGACTACTAAAATCAAGAAAAAGAAAAACACAACAAATAAACAGAAATAAAGATGATTCAAAGAATAAATCACAAAGATCAAGACATAAAGAAAGAAGTCCATTCTTTAAAAGAAAAAAAAGTGTTGGAAAATGCAAACTAAAATAATTGATTCCATTTTTCTTCCATCTGAACATGAAAGAGACTGAAAAAATTCAGTATTGTCCAAGATGTTGGGGGGAACAGCATAATATTTTAGTTTGCTTCTGGCAGAACCAACCACAATTTGGGCATTTTTAAGCAATTATTATTCTAGGGAACAACTTGACTATAGTTACTGAAAGTGATACTACAAACATCCCCTGGCATAGTGATTCTTCCTGAGGGATGCACTGGGCTCAAAATTATATGCACAAGGAGACATACACTAAAAAGATTAATATTTGTTTTTAGAATAACAAAACCTGGAATGATCTAAGAGGCATCAAGAAAGGGGAGTGGGTAAGAAAAATGTGCTGTATTTACAGGATTAAATACGAGGCAGTTGTTGATAAAAGGAAAATTTTAAACAAACATAATTGCATATATTCATTAAGAATACACATGTATGTAGGTAAAAGTATAAACATGAGGCTGGTCAAATACAGCCCACGTTTATGTTGGAGAATTTGGGGCAGGTGGTGTAGGCAGCAGAGGGTGTAGAGGGTGAAGGAAAGAACAGGTGTGATAGTTAAAGAGGAATTGAGTTTCATCAATAATTTCTTTTCTTTTTTAATTTTTCTTTTTATTGGTGCACTATAATTATACACAACAGTGGGATTCATTGTTACCTATTTGTACTGCACACAATATAACAGCATAATTTAGTTAATTTCATTGCACCTCCCCTCTCTCTTCCCTCCAATAATTTCTTTTAAAGGGAAGCAACACTGGAAGCCAAATCTGGCCTAACAAAAAGATACTCATTTTTGAATACTGGAAATAAAGATATTTGTTGTACTCTTTGTATTTTTAAAAGTTTTTGGAATCAAAGAAAAGAGAGAAGGAGGGAAAGATGAAGGAAAGAAAGGAAGCCATGGCGTTCGTCACCAGTTCTGGAACATACTTAAGCTGGTCATAGGTGGTTGGTTTCTTAAGGATAAAATTCAAAACTATGTTTTTTGCTTGTTTTGCAGTGCTAGGATTGAACCCAGGTCCTTGCACATGCTCAGCAAGTGCTCTGCCATTGAGCCACACTCTCCAGTCCTTTTTATTTTATCTTGAGACAGGGTCACTAAATTACAAAGGCTGGCCTCAAGCCTGTGTTCTTCCTGTCTCAGCCTCTAAGCAGCTGGGATTATAGGTGTGCACCACACCCCCACCCCACCCCCCTCCCCATGATCTACTCTATAGTTTTTAATGTTGTTGTTGTTTGGCTTTGTTTGTGCTTGTTGTCTGTGCAGTGCTGGGGATCAAACCCAGGGGCTCAGGCATGCCAGGACAGTGCTGTCGTAATGAGCTATACCCCAGCCTCACAACTATATTTTAATAAACATAAGACCAATGGTGATTCCTTCCGGGCTGTCTCAGCTTACGGACTGAATTTAAGTTCACCCAGCAGAGGGAACCATTTGTCATTTGGAATGACAGGAATTTTGCCAGGGCACACCAGAATATCACCAGTAGCTATAATCTTCAGCACCTCCATCTCCCCACACCCCTAGGAATACCAAYACCTCAGGGAAGGAGGAATACACATTTACAACAAAGTAAATGAAAGTGTGCCATGGACATCTTTTCAACCTTTCTAAAAGCTCGTTGCAATTTTCTAGAATCAAGGGAACAATATGCTTGATTAGTTCTTCAGCAGATTTAGCAATTTTGCTTTTTCCTATTTCTCTCCTTGCAGCAAGTTAGCCATTAACCTGACATGTTCTAGGGCTTGAGTTTAGGTTTTCCTCCTACAAAACGGGATCTATGCTTTCAAAAAGAGTTTGCTTTAGGATAATTCATTTTTGCCACTAATAATCAAAAGATTCTCTTTGAGCCAAGGAGGTCATTCTTTAAAAGTGTTAGAATTGCAAAGAATGTTCCTTGTTTTCCTGGAGGGAGACTCAATGGAGGAATAAATCTTTCAGGAAAGTTCAGTAATCATGAAGTGAAAACCATGACATGCAGTCTTCCTTTTGAGTCAATATTGTTTAAAAAATTTCTTTTATGTGCATTTATCTGAGAGGCCCTAAAGCTTTGAAGAAGCAGTTAGGCAAATCTTTAAAGACAGATATGGGGATTCCAAAATCTTTACGTGCATGAAACTAGGAAGCAGAAGGCATGAATGA